CTCAGCCCATGAGCTTCCTAGTCTTCCTTCTCTTTCCTTTTACAGCTATTTTATCTCAATGTTTTCCCTGAGAGAAAGATGTAATAATATGGGTGTTATTACTGCTTAACCCTAGAGAATCCACAGGGGATATGGATGGTATAAATGCCTCGGTAGGAGTTTGAGCATTTATTAATTTCTAGTGAATCCACTCCTGTGTCAGGTGTTTTCTATGTACTTTTGTGTGGATGGTTTAAATGGAGTAGAAACTTATTACTGGGGCATTAGTAATTCCTTGTTGTTTTCTAAAGGTCAAGTCAGATTGCAGCCATGCTAGGGTTTTGGTTAGGAAGATAACCAGTTAGTATACTGAAATTAATCTTTTTTATTTATTTCCAGAAGGATCTTCCCCCACTCCCTCAAAAAAATGCATTGTTTTTATGTAACTTCTTAAAAAGTAGTATAACATCATCTGGGAGTTTTATCTGATGAGGTGGCAAAGGTTTTAGTACAATGCTTGTGCTGATCTCTGCGTGGCTCCAAGTGAGTCCAGTCTGCTGTTTCTATGATGCAGTAGTGTTTTCTTATAATAGAAATACTTTGGGAATAATTAGGTTAAAACAAAGTTCCTTGTTTAGGCCGTATAATTTCAAAACAGAGAAACTTTAAGCAAGTGTCCTCTCTGTGCTGTTCAGTGTTTGCATGAGTAAGTACTCTTTAAAATAAGGGAAGAGCGATCTTGCTCACCTTCTGGGTACTGCAGCCAGATTGTGTGTATTTCCCTTAACGAAGAAGGATATGTGTGTAGTTACTGTCATTATTTTGACTGTGAAATAGGTGCATCAGAAAGGCATAGGACACTAATAAATGTAGTAAAAGTGTCTTCATGAACATGCATTTTAATAATAAGAGATCTCTTACTGTAGTCAGCAACACAAAATGTATGTAGCTGGACAAAAACATATTTGTGCTGATACATTAATGGCAATTTTAACTCCTGTATCTGGTTGGTGACTTGTTTTTCCACTTGATACCAGCACCTTGCTTCTTTGAAAGTTACCTCTGAAAAAGTGTACAATCAAAGCCATCCCAAGAGGCATGTGATTGGAAGACCAGGCGGCTAAAAACCCAAAAAGGAGCGTGGGGGCAGAAAGGAGCCTGAGCAAGTTATCTGAAAACTTACATTATTGAGGGAAATGTGGATATGTCAAAACTTAGTATTCTGAGCTGAAATTTACTCAGAAATAAATGAGAGCAATCTAAGTATAAATGTAGCATAGCATGTATTATGCTGGTGCTGTCTCACTGTTTTCTTTTTTATACTGTCTTTTAAATGAAATGTTCTTCTGTACATCGTGTCAGTTATTGCTTAGTTACACTTCTGAGGTTAAAAAAAACATTGGATGTGACTGGACGAAAGAAACAGGGTTGCTGTCAGGCTTTGTGTTTGTTTTCATTCTTCCTGTTTCAAGCAGAAAACTTTTAGCTTCTCCCTTCCCATATTTATGCAGCAGCAGGTTAGGTTCCCCTAAGGAAAACAAAAGAGGCTCCTGTTGCACTGCTCCAGAGCAGCACAGCAGGAACTTCTGGAAGACACTGTCGTGCTCCACATGGAACATGTAACAGATACATTTATCTTCCTGATTCTGTGTTGAGGTACTAGGAGATATTTTCTGTAGTGTGGTTGTTATTTCTAGGAACGGTTTGGTTTGGGGGGAAATACAGACCCTGGTTTGGTTCCTCTTTGTGCTTCCAGAGGAATATAGGTAATGCTGATATAATGATAACAGTGGATTTCTCCACTCACCTGTGTGCCAGCATGGAATCGAGTTGCCAAGTTGCGTCTCCTCAGATGAGCTTTCATCTCTCTTGCCAGCTTGCTTATCATCTGGAAAAACCTGACAAGAAAAATAAACATTTCTTATTTTCTGTTTTCCCCATTATAACAAAAGTCAGCAGGTGTATGTGCATCATTCTTTCACTGTAATGTAATTTGCAACACATTAATACGATATTATTGTTTTCCTAAGACTTGAGATGTTTAATATATCTTCAACTTTTGTCATTCAGGATGGTGACGAGTCATCTCCAATTTTAACAAGTTCTGAAATTGTTAAAATTCCAGATCCCCAGATGTCTATGGTAAGCATATTCCATGCAATGCAATCTGTATTACAGTATTTTTGTTGGAAGTTTTCATAAATGGAGATGAAAGCTTGCCTGTATTGCAGTCTTCAATATTTTAAAATTCCAGTGGAAATATGTATTTGAGAAATATCAGAGAGTTTGACCTTTTGTAGTTGTTTTATTTTTTTTTCCCTGCTAGATTAAAATACAAGTACTGATTTAATCTGTATGTTCATATCCTCCTTTCCATAGCTAATCTGCTTGCTTCTGAGGTGTAGTAAAGTAGAACAGGGGGATGGTTGGCCAGAGGTCAGAGGGTGGGAATATAAGGTAAGAGGGAGCTGAAGAAATTTAGAGGAAGGTGGAGTAACTCGTGGTCACTTCATCTGTTAAAACATTTTCTCCCTACACTCTCTTGTATGTTGTCTTTCATGTAGACAGTGCCTAAGTACAGTTCTAGAAAAGATTTCCATTATTGTGGATGCCAATTCAGTGGGACTGGTATTGGCAGCTTTGGGAACCTTAATGTAAGTGGGCTTCTACTGGCGACACTGTTTGAGCACTGTGTAATCTAACACTGCAAGAGCAAGTCTGATAATGCTGAAAACTGCCTTGGCTGCTGAAATCTTGTTGGCACTGTGGCTCCTATTGTGGCTCCTACTGTTGCTAACATGGTATTAACAGTGGGAAAACTTACCGAGAAGTTTTTCTTGCATACAAAGCTTTATCCTGCAGACATTCTAAAAACGTTCATAAAGCGGCTAGCACGTTTGAGGGCTCTCTAAATCACGGATGTGTTGACTGAAACGCTTGCATTTTGCAGTAATTCACCAAAAGGCAAGATAGGGTTTGTAAATTGTGTGAAGTAAAAAAAAAAAAAAAAAAAAAAAAAAACCCAAAAAAAACCTTCAAAATTCCCAACAACTCTCCACTTACTATTGAAGAAGTTTCTTCTTAAACAGCAACAAAGAAAATCCAGAAGACACTGTAGTTTTAGATGTGAATTTAATTGTCATGCATTATTCAAGATACTGGTGAGTCTTTCCTAGATGGTTTCATTTCAGTAATAAGTTTCTCTGAAGTTTAAATATTGATAAGTACTGACTTACCCTCTGCATTTAGGAGAACTTAGTAGAAAGCAAACATCACAAACTTGCTCGAAGTTTAAGAAGTGGACCTTCTGATCATGATCTGAAGCCTAATGCAGCTACGCGAGATCAGCTTAATGTAAGTCAGACATATGATGGCTCAATCCAATTTTATGCGGTAGGTTGGTATTAATATATGATGACCGTTTAGGGAAAATGCATTTCACTTCAGTTTAGAGAAAGTAATTTCATGAAAAAATGCTGTTAAGTGTTTCTAACAAGTGCTTAGATGGATCCAACTTGGAAAGGAGCAGAAGGTACTAGATCTTATTTTTTTTATAAAACAGTTTTAGCGGCGTAAAGAATGCATATTGTGCAGACATCATGGTAGCCTTAAAGTGACTGTGTGAGTTTGCCTACACCACTGGTTCAATCAACCACATAACAGAGGTGTGTCACCGTGATAGCATGAGAACTTTGCATTGTTGGAAAGCTTGTTTTTCCTAGCTATTTTTCTGTGTTGTCAGTCTTGTGCTTTTGTCACCGTGTAGTCTCTTAACTTGTTGATTATGCCTGTTCATGGTTTTTAAACTCACTTTCTGACTATGTATCTAATAGATCATAGTGAGTTATCCACCGACAAAGCAGCTAACATATGAGGAACAGGATCTAGTTTGGAAGTTCAGATATTACCTCACTAATCAGGAGAAGGTAAGTCAGATCATTTGAGATAACTTCCTAATGCAAGAGGTGATTCATCTGACACTCATTCTACAGTCTTCTGTCCTTGCAGAGATACAGAGCATCAGTGTCTTAGAAGCTAGTCAAGATTATTTTAACTTTTTCTAAAATCTTATTGATTTAAGAATTGACCGAAATTTTCCCTCTCAAGTCATATAAACTATGACGGCAGCAGTCTTTCTGCAAACACAGACTGTCAGCTTAAAGTGCCAGTGTTGCCGATTTTGTCTTCTCCTTTCAGCAAGGAAAAATTTTATTAAAGAGATGCTTCTTCATCTTTTTTAGATGAGGATCAGCATTACCAGAATAACTAGCAACACACCAAAAGCTCAAAGTAAATTAAATAATTAAAATAAGTAAGTAATCCCCTGTCAGTGGGCATTTTTATGGAGTGATAATTGTGGTGGAACAGTAACCATTGACTTGGTACATTTTGCTTAGAAGATAACCCAGCTATATTTTTTTTGGACGTATTAAAATAATCCAGTGTTATACTGTCACATCAGTAAGGTTGGTCAGGTCTCTGCTTATGTAAGTATAGTCTGAATCTAGTTCTGCCTTAAGGTGAAACATTTAATTTCACAGCATCCTCCTGGACAAGCTGTCCAGCTGTGGAATGTGCAGGTTCATGGTGTGCTGGGAGAAGAACTGGCTGAAGGGCAGAGGGATGTAGTGAATGTGATTGGATCTCGCTGGTGCCTGGCTGTGTTCCTCAGGGTTCAGTTCTAGGGCCAGTCCTGTTCAGTGTGTTTATCAGCAGTCTGGATGCAGGAGTTGAATGTGTCATTAGCATGTTTGCAGATGATACCAGGGATAGGCTGTTGACTCCCTTGAGGGACCAGAAACCTTCTGGACAGATCTAGATAGATTGGACCATTGGGCTATGATTAGTGGAAGAAAATTTAACAGTCAAAATGACAGATTCTGCACCTAGAATGGAGTAACGTCTGGCACAAATATGAACTTGGAGAGGAGCAGCAGTAGAGCAGCCCTGCAGAAAGGGATCTGAGGGTGCTGGGTGACAGCGGTCTCCATAGGAGTCAGCAGTGCCCTGGCAGCCAAGAGGACAAACCTCGTCCTGGGTGGCATCACACAGCATGACGAGCTGCTCAGAAGAGATTATCCCTCTGTATTCAGCACCAGCTTGTACAGCTTCAGCTTGAATACTGTGTGGAGTTCTGACCCCCACACTTTAGGAATGATGTGAAGGTCCTTGAATGCTTCCACATGAGGGCAGCAAAGCTGGTGAAAGGGTTGGAAGGAATGTCCTATGAGGGACAGCTGAGGACTTTGAGCTTGTCTAGTTTGGAGACAAGGAGGCTGAGGGATGACCCAATTGCTCTCTACAGCTTCCTGATGAAGAGAAGGGGAGAGGGAGGTGCTGATCTCTTCTTCTTGGTATCCAGTGATACAACTGGGATGGTTCAGAGCTATACCAGGAGAGGTTTAGGCTGGGCATTAGGAAGCATTTCTTTAGTGAGAGGGTGGTCAAACACTGAAACAAGCTTCCTAGAGAGGTCGTCGATGCTTCAAGCCTGTTAGTGTTTAAGAGGCATTTGGACAATGCACTTAATAACATTCTTTAACTTTTGGTCAGCCCTGATGTGGTCAGGCAGTTGGACTGGATGATCACTGTAGGTCCCTTCCAACTAACATGGTCTATATTCTATTCTAAATCTTTTGTTTAGTCTTGCTTTTCACTGATGAATTGTCCAATCTCTTTCTGTTTAGGCCTTGACAAAATTCTTGAAATGTGTCAACTGGGACCTACCACAAGAGGCAAAGCAAGCACTGGAGCTACTGGGCAAGTGGAAGCCCATGGATGTGGAAGACTCTCTAGAACTTCTGTCATCTCACTTTACCAACCCAACAGTTCGGCGTTATGCTGTTGCCAGGCTTCAGCAGGCTGATGATGAGGTATTCATTGGTGTGTGTACATGCTGAAGTCAGCTGGTCTCAGGATTTTTTACTTTCATTGAACACTTGAAATGTTTGCTACTTTCTAAGGTGTTGAAGTGAATAATAGTGATGGAAAACTAATAAAAACTAACAAAATTTACTACGATGCTATTTAATATAAGCTCTTTATGGAGCAAAGTCTTCACATTATTAAGTGGCAATCACTGATAATTGTCTTAGTGTGAACAGCCAGCGATAGCTGGTTTTGTCAAACAAGGAGAAACAACCATATGTTCTCCACAGAAACCGGTGATAAATTTCAAGTGTTAACTTGCATAGAAGTGCTCTGAACTTAAGTAGTCTACTAAAAGATTTCCAACAAATCCACCTGATAAATTGAAGCAGTATGATGTCATACTCTTTTGCTAAAGAAAGCGATCAGAAAAGCATCTGTGGAAATAAGGTGTTTCTAATTATATACTGATTAGAATTTGATGAGCTGTGATTTAAGTAGAGCCCACTTAATAGATGCTAATCTGTTAAATCTTAATTATTAATATATTTTTCCTTATGACAGTAAAAAAACCCCAACTTTTAATGTATTACCATAACTCTTGAATCCTTGCCAATCAAATAATTTAAAATAAAAAGCATAAATTTTTGCAAGTCTGCTTTGCTAACCAGGGTCATACTGCTTTGAATTTAAAATGTACCTTGTGTGAAATGTTTGAAGGCAACTAAACAGGGCAAGTTGGATAGTAGAGGGGAGAAATTAATTACAAACATTGAGTGAATCTGGTCTTCATCAGTTACGTGTTTTGGGTTGTTTTTTCTTTCTGGATCCCCACCTGCACAAGAGACCAGAAAACCCCAAGAAGCAAACCATAGTGCATAAGAAAGGAGAGTATCTGAGTCCACATTTAATGCTTGAATTTTCTTCTTGGGAACCACGAACTGAAAGGTTTATTTTTGTGGATGCTGGAAGCAAGTAGGGCAGCTTAACTAAAGACAGCTTTAAAGAAATAATTACACATAAATATTTACTTAATTAGCACTTACTATCTTTGTATAACAAAAAAATAGTAGCATGATAATCCAGTATCTTTTGGGATTCAAACTGTGGCATTCACCAGTGTTTCTATTGCAGGGAGACCCCAGTTTCCATTTCTTTATAGGTCACTAAATCCTGACTTAGGTATTTCTGTTAATTACAATTTTGAACGAAGTCTTAGTTAGCTTTTACCCACTCAGTTAATTTTCATTTTTTTTCCTCCATGAGGATTTGCTGATGTACCTCCTACAGTTAGTCCAGGCATTGAAATACGAAAACTTCGATGACATAAAGAATGGACTGGAACCTAGCAAGAGGGACAGTCAAGGTTCAATGTCAGAAAGCATGGCAACATCTGGAACTAATGGTGCAGAAATAGACAGGTAAGAATCCCTCAGATGTGTCTCTCCTTTTCGGGGACCATTGCATATTCAGCATCTTGTCACTTCTTCAGATTATAAAACATTAGCGAAAACAAAATGAATCTTTGAACTTTCACAGAAGATATTTCCTGACTACAGGTCGTTTACAGAGCAAATGTTCTTAATTCTCTAGTTGGGACCTTTGACCTTATACATAAAAGGAAGACAGCTGCCAGAGAGCAGACTGGCAGTCCTTCTTTCTGTCCTTGGAAAAGTTAAGATGTCTTTAATGCAGTTGTTGCATGAGGCTCTATTTTCCACTTTGATTGAAGGGTGTGGTTCTGACAGTCCAATCAGTCTGAAATGGAAAGGTATTTCTTCTTGCCTTTGCATATGTGGTGCAGGGAGAGCCTTGTGAATGTAAAGGAGCTCGGGGAGGACACTTTCTTTCTTGCAGGGATCTGAAAGAAAAGGGGAGATACCTGATTAATATGGTATTAAGCAAGGTTCAAACAAACTTGGTGAAACAAAGTCTCCTGTGAATACTTAATATAAATTTCCAGTATTTTTAGTCTTAAGCTTCAGTGTCTAATCACATGTGTCGCTAGGGCATACTTTTATATTACAAGTATACTGCTTTTCATTGCTCTTGCTGCTAAGCTGTAGAGTGGGTGTCATGGGGGTTGTATGGTGCATTTTGAGGCTGCAGTGACACTTAGACGTTAGCAGAGCTGTTTGATTACTTCCTTCCAGGTAAACTTACTGTCTGAAAATTCTTTCCCTGCAAGCATTGGGTTTTTATACTGTGTGATGTGTAATTGCATTCCAGAGATGAGTGCTTGCAGGTGTTGTGTATTAGCAATTCCATTTTAAGAACATTTTAAAAAGCTTTTTGTGAAAATGTGGATTTGCTCAATTCCCATCTATGTCTGCTTAGTTTTTTTATGGAAGATGAAACAAAATGCTAAATTTGATGTAAGTGAATGTCCTTAGCAGCCATAAACTGTGTAGCTATCCAGGCACAGATTTTTGCCATTTTCAGGAACTGCAGCTGTCAAAGGTGTGGTTCATGCAGTTTGTTCTGGAACAGGGATGAGATACTTTCTTCCAAGATACTTCTCGTCCAGTTTTTCTGAATTTATTATGCTGTGGGAGTGAAATGTGTTGCTGGTTCCATGCATGCTATTTCCTCTGCCCCCTAAGCAAGAACTTTGAATCATGCTAATTACCTGCTTTCTTTTATGTAGTTCCCAGATCATGAGTCCTATTCCACCTGTTTCCTCACCACCTCTTACTTCTAAGACAAAAGAACTTACAGACAATGAAAACCTTGATGTAAGTCAAATGCTTTATCTGTGGTTTTGATACTTGAGGGTTTTTGGTGATCTGGTACTGCTTTTAGTTTGTGCTTCTGAATATTTGAATCTTTCTACTTTATCTTGCTGAATACTTAGTGCTCAGAGAATATAAATGTAAACTAAATGCTAAAAGAAATAGCAGTAGCTTAACTGGGGTTTTTTTTACAGGCAGTCTGTTTATGTACGCATTAGCTAAAACTGGGGGACTGGGTATTGATTTCTTTATAAAATTAAAGTACTCTAGAGGAGAAAATTACTGCAAAGGCTATCACATGCTGATTAGATACTGACAATTGCATGTGTCTGAGGTGTTTTAAAGCAGGCTTTTTTAAATGGAAAGCAATTACCAAGATGTTTTAAACTCCTCAGTCTGTTTTTCCTGTAGCCATATTCTTTGGTGTGGGTGTCATCTTTTTGGAACTGAGATACTGTGTTGATGTACATCTGCCAAAGTTTATACTCGTTTTGTACCACAAAGAGAAGAGTAATAAAAATGGGATTTGAGAGAGAAAGATATAAGGAAAAGTCAGTTTGAAAGAATCTGATTTTAATCTGATGTGCAATTAATTGATCTTTGGACTGAAGATCTCCATTCCCTGTTGCAGATCTTCCTTTTTTGGGTCTTAGTACTTAATAGAAAATAAGCCTCAAATTGAGCATATCAGTAAAGACACAGATTTTTTGTTAGTTGGAATGTTAAATCTTGAAAAAGTAACTACATAATGTGTATTTCTCTATAGATTTGTTATCTATGTTAAAATGTAGAACATCTTTGAGTTTCAGGTCTTCTGCGTGCATAACAGGTAGCACGTCCCTTTTGAGGTTGAATCCTACAGGAGGGGATAATTGCATAGAAAAAAGTGTAATATATGATAAGTAGAAATTTTACATTAAAGATTTATCATGTGCTTCTGACACGTTGGTAAATATATTACTGTAGTGTCAGACATGGTTTTGCTTGTAATGTTGTTGCTGGATTTGTTTGGAGTAACATTAAACTCGTGATTTAAATAAGAGGTTGGATTTCATTCAGTCCTTAGAAGGCAGTGCATTTCTCACAACTCTGCAATTATTTTGGGTTTTCCGTTAACCTCCTCTCTCCTAGGGGCTCAGACTTCTTTACAACTTAACTTGTGTTTTTCTTAAATCCCTTCCAGCAAGATCTTTGCACGTTCTTGATATCACGAGCATGCAAAAATTCCACGTTGGCGAACTACTTATACTGGTATGTTAGAAATTATTTATTCATACTGTATAAAGTCTAATTGAAATCAAAGCTATAATGCCCAGATGGATGCACAGCAAAAGAATACTTGTCACAACTTCAGAATCTCAATTTCTGTCAGAATGACGTAGTGGATTTAAACCAACACGCATTTGATCAGAAAAATTAATAAAAGAAGTGGGCTGGTTTTTAAAACACACAAATGTGCTTTACTGTTAGATAAAGGAATTTTTAGGACATTAAGTATCGGAATCATAGAATGGTTTAAGTTGGACCTTAAAGATCATCTAGTTTCAATCCCCCTGTCATAGGCAGGGACCCCCTCCACTAGACCAGGTTGCTCCAAGCATCATCCAGCCTGGCCTTGAAGACATCCAGGGATGGGGCATCCACAGCTTCACCTTTTCTAGTGCTTCACCACCCTCCCCATGAAGAATTTCTTCCTGATATCTCACCCTCTCTGTGAAGAATTTCTTCCTAATGTCTAATCTAAACCTCCCCACTTTCAATTTAAACCCATTACCCCTTGTCCT